GCGCCTGTTTGCAGAGGCATCGCTCGATACGCAGCGTGTCCTTCAGAAGATCCCTACTCCAGGAGTCAAAATAGCATGAAATTTAATTTTACGCCTATTTGACAAAGCTTGATTTCGCCTCCAATCAGCGGGGAGATAAGAGCCCTCGGCACAAGTGCGCGGGCAGTTTGGCAGCTGGGGCTGCCGATTTAATAGGTGAATTTACAGGAACAACACTTGAAAATCCCCTGGCTAGTGAACCATTAAGGTGAGCCCTGCCTTCCGTCCCCGCGTCCCTCCCCGCGCCGCTCTCCCGTTGCTGGGTGCTAAAGCAAACCCCGGCTCTGTTTACCGAGTCTACTATTACAATACAGCCACCAAATATTTGCCAGCCGGCAGCTCCCTGCTCCGCTATAAATACTTCCAGCCCAGGTGGAGGGACGGCGAGGGGGAGCGGCGCGGGAGCCTATGCATGGCCGGGCGGCCGCCCCGAGGTGAGTGCTGAGCCCTGGAACCCAGGCCATGACCTCCTGCCCTGCTGGGGATGGGGGGTTTCTCTGGCTGAGGGTCCAGCAGGGGAGGCCGGTTCCATTCCTAGGGTGTTCCCGGGAGGCTGAGCCCCTGGGCAGCAGGGAGGGAGGTCCCCCAGGGGGATGGCACAAAGAGGAATGCATGGTGGTCCCAGGGGTGGCAGCGATGCTGGCTCAGGGTGGCTGGAGGACTCAGCTCGCTGGCAAGAGCAGGATTTGTCCCCCAGTGTTTGACCCCCAAGACCCTCTCGGGGCTGTGGTGATGGCAGTGCCAGGCATGTGGGAGGGACGCCCGCAGTGAGGCAGGGCTGGGGACCCTGGGGCAAAGGCAGCATGAACTGCAGAGGGGCTTCAATCAACTCAGAAGAACCCAGCCCTGACCAGAGCCTGCCAGAGGGATGTGGGACCATGGCCAGGTTTTCCCTGTCACAGGGAAACCTGTGGGGACATTGCATGGGCAGGGCATGGGGCTGAGTGTTCTGGGGCTCAGCATGCAGCGTGGCAGGGACAGCTCAGCATCCAGGGTGTCAGGGACAGCTCAGCCCCATTCACCTCCATGTACAGCCCCAGGGTGACTGGGAACATCCTGCCACCCTCCAGTTCTGGGGGACGTCCCTGCTACCTCATGGCTCAGAGGGATGTCGCCACTCCCCAACCTCCCATGGTTTGCCAGGGAATGTCCTGCCACCCCATGTTGCAGGGATCAGTGGGGACATCTCTGCTGCCCCAGATGCCATGACTTGGTGGGGATGTCCCCATTACCCCACGTCTTGGTGGGGGCATCCCTGATGCCCTACGTCCCATGGCTTCGCAGGATGACATCCCTGCTGCATGATGTCCCAGGGCTCAGTGAGGAAGTCCCTGCTGCCCCACGTCCCACGGGGCATATTCCCACTGCCCCGTGTCCCACGGCTTGGCGGGGACATTCCCACTGCCCCACGTCCCATAGCTTGTGGGGGATGTCCCTGCAGCTTCCCCATGACCACGGTACAGTCCCCCTGCTGCCTCCGGGCCAAGTGCCCCTGCAGGCAGCAGCTCAGGGAGGGTGCCATGGTGCTGTCCCTGCCCGCAGGGTGAGGCCAGGCCCCGGGGTGCCCCTGTGCACTGACATGGCTGCGGGGGTCATCCGGCCCCTGCCCGAGCTGCGCCTGCCCTCGCCCTTCCCGCACGGCCTCCTGCCCACGCGCCCCGAGCCCGGCTGCCCCGACCCCTCCGAGGAGG